TTGCGCGCGCAAGTGGCCGGCATCCTACGCTCAGCACTCTTCCATGCACAGATTTTGCGGGTATCACCAGGTACCATTTTCCAAAAAATAAAACTGATTTACCTGGCGGATATTTATCAAAATCAATACGCAGTGCCTTAGATCGAGCAACATCAATGGGTGTAAACCGCCTATCCTTTAGCGTTTCGTAGTGTTCTTGTCGCACTTCCTCATACTCCTCACTGATGTCAGCGAGGAATGCTTCCCTTGTTGTCTTGTCCGTAAGTGCAGAACACTAAAAAGACGTGAAATTTGCAAACCTACGCAAACCCTCGCAAAGCTGGACACTCTTACCACAACAACGGATTTGCTGGCATCTAGGCAGTGTATAACTGGACCACTATAGCGCGGAGCAATTTTTACGGCTGTGTGGGTTTTAGACGTAGTTGCACCTCCTAAAATTTCAAAAACCTTGTGTCAGAAAGGCTGTACACGCGTTCCTGTGATGCAAAGTGAAGCTTCATTGCGAAACACATGAGAGAATGCGCACTTGCAGGAGACGCAGACAGTCCGCAATAACGTACATTCCGTGCAAAACTCAACGCTCTATGCTGCTAGCCGATGCTGATTTCAAGAAAACTGTTTCTTGTCTACTCGGACGCTACCGCAACCGCATATAGCAGAACTTTGTTCAAAAAAACTTTGACTCAAAGCAAAAAAGCAAAAAATAAAAATTCTAGGTCAAAAACAAGTCACTTCCGCCAATTAATTTTCATTTTAGTTTGGAAGCGCACCATCCTCGCAAGGACGGAGACGGGAATTTTTTGAATTATTTTTTGGCTACAATTTTTCTTCTACAACCACAATTTTGGTAATAAGAAAAGCTTACCAATAAGCAGTGGAATTTTGAGCCCATTTCGTTGCATTTCTTTTGCAACATGGACCATCTCATCCAGTGAAGGAGTAATCAGTCCAGAACAACCAACGAAATCTGAATTATGGAAAATGATTTTTTTAAGCGGGGTAATTATATAGGTGTAGCCTTCTACATCTCTAAAATGGTTTTTGAGAAATACAGATTTTTCAAACTACAACTGTGCAAAAATAGTGAGATTACAAGGTCTGAGAAACTTTACGCAAAATCCGAGATGAATGGCATATCATAACAATGTATGAAACAAATAATTTTTTAAAAAATTTGATTAATAATTTTCAAAAAAATGTGTTTACCTGCTTTCTCCTCAATCGCAGTTTTGATTATGGTCTCACAAGGTGTCATAACGCCTAGATCAATGACCTAAGAAAATTCCTGTGGAATACAAACCTAAGAACTTGTAGCTGGATACCTTAAAATTATTACATCCTAGCAC